TATTCTGATATTGTGGCGGGGTACATTAACGCTGCGGCGGGCTGGGCTTCTCTTGTTGCCGAGATCAACGCAGGCAGGTGGGAGGTTCACACCGTCTTCAGCAGGGAAAGCCAAGCGAACCGTGTGGGCCGTGCGTTCTACCCCACCGCAGTTGCAAAGGACAACAAAGTCTTTCTTCTTGTGGGAAGCTACGACATGATCGACGACGGTAGTGATTCACATTGGAAGGAAGGTAACTGGAGCCTTGAGTTGCTGGTGGGTGAGGCCACGCAAGACAAACAGATCCAATGGGGCCAGCCCCAACAGCTGCTGCCACAGATCGCCCAATCCGCTCAAGCGATCGGTGTGGATGGGTTTTTTTCTGCTGGTGGCTCAGGTGTTGTGATGGCGAGTGGCGCGCTTGTGTTTCCTGTGGTGGCGGCGCGGAGGGGAGGGTCCTCCCTTGCCTCCACGATCATCTACTCGGCGGACGAGGGCATAACGTGGGCGCTCCCGAAGGGGATGCTCCCTGCGGACTGCACTTCGCCCCTCCTCGCCGAGTGGGAGGCGGGGCAGCTGCTCATGATTGCCGATTGTACGTTTGGCCGCAGGGTGTTCGAGTCGAGGGACATGGGGGCAACGTGGGCGGAGACTGCCAGGACACTCTCGCGCGTGCGGGGTTATTTTGGAGCAGACCCGTTGCAACGGCCTCGGCGGGTGACGTCCCTCACCACCGCGACGATTGCTGGGACGAGGGTCATGCTGTACACCCAGACAGACTACCCACTCGGGGAGATGGAGGCGGAGGCGGAGGCAAAGGATCTTTTTCTTTGGGCCACCAACAACAACCGGACGTTTCGCGTCGGGCCCATTTCCATGGACGCTGATGGGAATATCCCACTCTCCAGCGCCCTGCTGTACTCGAACGATAAACTGCACTTTTTGCAGGAGAGGGGCAACAGTAAGACCAGGAGCCTGTTTTTGTCCCCCCTGACGGAGGAGCTGGGGACAATCACGTCCGTCTTGGGCACTTGGGCAGAGCAGGACTCCGCCTTCTCCAAGTCGTCTGTGCCCACGGCCGGCCTGGTTGGGTTCTTGTCGGATGCATCGAGTGATGCAACGTGGGACGACGCGTACCGCTGCCTGAACGCCGTTGTGAAAAATGGAAAGAAGGTCAAAAATGGCTTTGAGTTTACTGGGGCCGAGTCCTACGCCTTTTGGCCTGTGAACATGTGGGACGATGGTAACGTGTACGGCTTTGCGAATTACGAGTTCGCGCTTGTGGCGACGGTGCTCATCCAGCAGGCTCCGAAGGGGAGCGCGCCTCTGCTGGGTGCGAGTCTGGAGGACCATGGCAGCACGAAGTTCGTGGGGCTGGCGTACACTGCGGAGATGAAGTGGGAGACGGTCTTCAACGGCACGGCAACCGTAACTGACGGCGGCGGCGCCTGGGAGTCGGGGAAAGAGTACAAAGTGGCGCTCATGCTGCAGGGCAGCAAGGGCTCCGTGTACGTGGACGGCGAGCTCGTGGGGAGCTCCGACGCGCTGCCAACACCCGAGGCACGAAATTTCGAAATCTCGTACTTCTACTTTGGAGACGGGGAAGGCGGCAACGACAGAGGCGGCAGGGTGGCTGTGACGAACGTCCTTTTGTACAACCGCCCGCTGAGCGGAGAGGAGCTCGCAGCGCCTGCTGGGCGGGGACGAGGCACCCCGCCACCTTCCGGGGGTTCGGGTGACTCCAGCGCAGCTGCAGAGGCCAAAGAGGAGGTGGATGCGCACGAGGCGGCGAGTGGCAGTGGTGAATCGGCGCCGTCATCGTCTCCAGAGCCGGGTGCGGGCACTGGACGCGAAAGAACTGGGACTGAACAGGTCTTCGGTGCTGAGCCCTCTGAGCAGCAACGGGGCCCTTCGCCTCCCGCAGACGGCGCAGCCACGGCGGGCCCGGTGGGTGACGCGCCTGTGCAGAATGGGCGCGAGGATGACGGCCAGGCGCAGCAGACCCCTCCGTCGCATGCGCCAGAGAGCGTTGGTGGAGTGCCGTCTGCTTCCGCCGCGCCTACCAGCGAGACGCCAAACGTTGCAGAAAGAGAACTTGGCGCAGACCCCCAAACTGCGGCGGACGCGGACGGCGGCCACGAGGCTTCCAGCAACGCCGCCACGGCACCACTCCCCGGCAACGGCTCCGCTGCCTTCAAGAACATCACAGGGCCGTTCCAGCTGAGCACAGGCAGCGACGACGCTCTGCGTGGGTGCGTGTCTCGGCTTTTGCTGCTTGCCATGCTTGGGGTGTGGGGCACGACGGCTCTCTGATTCATGGGGGGGGGGAATTACATTTGCGAAGTCTCGTGAAAAGTGTGCGGTGCGGTTGTCCATCGACATTCATTTGGGTTTTTCGAGGCCCCCCATTTTTATTCTCTTTTCGCTTCAATTTTTTCCTTCTCATTTGTGCTTTGCCGGAGTAATCGGCACCTCCGCTCCTCTTCTTTTTTATTGCTCTACTGCTCGCTCGCTGTAAGCACCGCCACGAGTAACGAGTTCACTCT